TCATTCTACGATTTTGAGCAACTTTGTATAAAACATAATAATARTTTGCACTTGCACTTGCACATCACTAGATGTAGATTGCAGTGTTATTTCTCAGAAAGCGGAACTGCAAAAAGGTAAACAATAACAAACCCCAGCGGTAAAGTTTCCATTCACTGAAGTAATGTTCTTATTCCTCACACTCCCAATGAGCTTTCTAAATGTTCAGCCGTTTGATTCACTCGCAATTTGCGCTGAAACTGAAATAAAATTTTGTTGATCGACGAATCAAAAAAGAATTCATGTGTTTGATYAAAGCACAAATTAAATCAGCAATCCCKATTTTATCGCACAATGAATACGTTTCATTTCACTTTGTAATGAAACACCGCGGTCGCCAGTGGCGTCGGCACGAATCCTCCATCCGGGGTTATTACAAGGGTCAGTCCTGCCGCAGGGTTTAATTTAAACATGAATTAATCATGCGTTTCCGCCCAGATAAGCTCTTATTTTAATAAACATTTTCTTGGGTTCGTTTACCCGGAAAATTTTTACAAGTGCGAATTCGCTGACCTCGTTTGTTGTGGCGGCAGGTAGTTGGGAATGTGGGCCAAGGCGAGCACATCGAGAGTGGCTCCAATTAATTACAGGACGCTGGAAGGCCTTAAAAGTTTTATTYGCTTCAGGGATCAGACTCGAGACTCACTCTTACCTTTGGGTAATTACCTCGCCTGGGCACGCTTCGAGATCGGGAAAAAAATACTAGCTTCTTAGAAAAAAGGCTTGTAGATACTTGTAAATTCCAGGGAGAGTTAGATTAATCTGATTAATACACCTAAAGATGTCGAAGGTCCTTTTTTACATTCACGACTTGTCTTGGAAGCGAAACGAAAGCTCTTTCATTTATTTTTARSCAACTTTCAATGTTGAAGCTTGTAGATCTTGTAGGTCGGATTACAGGTTCGGGTTTGTTTGTACTTCAACCTACATGTGTGTCTAATTGAGTGTTCAAATTCCAAAGATCGAATTATGCGCCATGTCTCATTGTGATTACTTGAAACCGCTTATTCAGTAACATTCGTATCACACAACAAACTTCATTTTGTTGCTTGATATAAAGCATCCACATCTGCTTCATAGTCTTTRTAATACAACAGTGTCGTATGTTGTGTCACAATTTACACAAAGATTAATTGATAATATCAGTTTTCAGGTATAATGCTCAGTGGCAATATTATAATTTAAATGTTTTTTGAAAAGGTTGAAACTCACAAAATTGATATTGTTTTGACCTCTTTCAAGAGATTGTGTTCGTTTTTGATCAAAAAATTCGTTAAAATAAGCTTAAAACACATCAAATTAAATCATAAATTCAATTATTTCTTCGAAATGTGGTCAAAATAAGCCTAAAAACAATAGAAATAACACTGCAATCAACATCTAGTGATCTGCAAGTGTATGTAAGTATTACGTTATACAAAGCTGCTCAAAATTATAGAATGGACTAAAATGGTAATGATTTTTTCTTCTTGCAAATGTTTTATTTTCTTCAATCGACTTTATTTTTGTTTTGGGATACTTTTAAAACGTTTGTTTTCTTTAAGGAAAAAACTATTTGTGGTTTACGCTTTTGAGTGTTTTTATTCTACTTTTTAATAAACTTTAACATTCTTATATTAGTATTTTTTTAAACTTGCGTTCCTCTAATTACATCACTGTGTGAAAAAATTCTAATCAAACTAAAACATTGGAGAACAGTTTTCCCAAAAAATGTTTACAAATCGTTTTTTTTTTCATTTGATAAAGAATTTTATAAATCGTTGCTATTTTTAAATTTATGTCTTTAGACAGATCTCCAAGCCATAGGCTGATTCTTATTTTGAAAAATTGCTCAAAAAAGTCTAAAAACTACCGAATCTATTAAAATTGACGTTATTTTCAAAAAAGTTACTTCTTTCGCAAAGTTTCGGCAAAATAAGCTTAAAAATAACAAGCAAATTATTTAATAATGAATTTTGACCTCTTTCAAACAATTTTGCTCGTTTTTGATATAAAAATTCACTTTTATTGCAAAATTTCGTTAAAATAAGCCTTAAAAAACAGAAATTAAATTAATGATAATGAATGATAAACCAGTCGTTATACTCGTAGTTTAAAAATCCAATCGGTGAAATAAAGGGTCCGATTTACACTCAAACTCGTAAAAAAAATAACTATTATTTTGACTTCTTTCAAACTAATTGTCTTATTTTAACAAAAAACTTACTAATTTCATAAAAATAATTATTTACGATGTTTTGACCTCTTTTGAAAAATTTTGTCAAAAATAACCAAATTATGTTATAATTAGCATTACTGTATGAGATTTAAGCAATTTAACTTATGTTTGACTAAACAATTTCATTAAATAAATTTGATAAAAATATGCCTAAAAAAACATTACTTTGACTTTTTTATATTTATCTCGTTTTTGACCAAAAAATTTACTTACATCACAAAATTTTCTTAAATCGAACCTAAAAATAACCAAGTTATGTCAAAATTGATGTTATTTCAGCATGTTTTAAGCAATTTATCTACTTTTGGATTAGAAAATTCATTCATTCTGCAAAATTTTATATTTTTCAAACTATTTACTTCGTTTTTGTACAATCAACTCACTTTTTTGCCATATTTTATCAAACTGAGCTTGGAAGTAACCAAATTATGTTATAATTAACGTTTTAAGCAATTTAGTTTTTATATGACTAAAAAACTCATTAATTACGCAAAATTTGACCTAAAAATCTAATATCATAATTAACATTACTTTAACCTCTTTAAAACGAAATTATTGCTCCTTTTTAACCGAAAAATTTACTACTTTTGTCGAATTAAACCTAAAAAAGCCACCTTATATCAATTAACATTATTTTACTTGTTTTAAGCAGTTTGGCTGTTTTTGACTAAAAAATTCACTAATTCTTCAAAATTTTAAAAAAATATGCCAAAAAATTACCAATTTTTATCGACAATGACTTTGCTTTCATCTCTTTTAAAGGACTTTGCTTATTTTTGTTTAGAAAACGTACTTATTTTCCAAAATTTTATAAAAACATGCCTAAAATTCATCAAATCATTTGAAATCTGACGTTATTTTTGTCTCTTTCAAACGATTTAGTACCTTTTTGGAATAAAAAACTCACTTTTTGCAAAATTTTGTTAGACTGTGTCAAAAACAATCAAATTATGTCACAATTAACATTACTGTAGCCTGTTACAGCGATTTATTTTGTGTGTGACTAAAAATTGAGCAAAATCCGACAAAAATATTTGCCTAAAAATCACCAAAACATATTAAAATTGAAATATTTTGAACTATTTAGCTTGTTTTCAACTAAAAAATTGACTTATTTTGCAAAATTTTATGAAAACATGCGCAGAAACCTTCGAATTATATCAAATTGTGACATAATTTTTTCCCTTTCAAACGATTTATATATCTAATTTTTTGAGAAAAAACTCATTTATTTCGCAAACTTTCGGTAAAATCAGTCTAAAAACTACCAAATAATATAATTGACAACGTTGTTTTTGACTGAAAAACTCACTTAGGTATTTTTAAAAGTTTTTTTTCACTAATTTTTATTAAAAAAATTACATGAAACTAAATAACATAATTTTGCAATAGAAAAATGGTGGATGCGCCGTATAATAACTAAAATGTTACTCGAAATATTTATTATAAAAACATAATAAAATTTTACATTAATCTAGAATTATAAGGGATCTTTTATAATAAGCTATTGTATTATTTAACTTGTTTTTAAACTGCAAGACAATGATATACGAGTCTTATTTTTCAAATTCCCGTTAATAAAAATATAAAGTCGATTCAGTACTACGACTCATAATTATATTAATATCACCGATAAAATCCCTCCTCATTAAATTCGCCAGTTATCGAAAAGTAATTCATCATTTATAATAATCAAACAAAAACTCTTTCAATATTGTTTATTCAAAATTATTAACACTAACAACCCCGTTTGGTAAATTCAAACTCTACATAAATTTATTATTAATAAGCACATTAAACGTCAATTTCGTGAGTTAAATTGGTTACTTTTTCAGATAGCAATTTTCAATTTGATTTAACATAAAAGCGTGCAACACACGTGTCTATTCACCAAGAAAATCAATACAAACAACTAACACAACGATAACAGGGTATTAATACTAAAGCACTCTGTTGTTAATATTTTTCGCGCAGAAAGCTCAAGTTGGATTACAATACTTGTAAGCAAGTTTTCGTCTTTGCAAAGGCTAGRATCTCATTTAACWCAATTTGTATTTGCGAAGTGTGTAAATCAGCTTCCACATACAAACTCCACTACTCTAATTCCGATTATCTCCCTGTACTTAGTCCCACTTTCGCCRAGTTAACATCCCTCAATCCACATGTTCTTTTCACTGTTGACTCGCTGCATCACACATCAAAGTGTCTCAAGCAAACACATGATTGTGATGTTTTATAATTGCAAGAAGTAAAACATTGCCTGTAATTAAACTCAGACAGCTGACGCGTTTGCGTGACATTCAAGTGGCTTTGTTCTCAATAAAATTACTCAACAAGATTAATCGAGAAAAAACCGTGACATTCACTAATTACAATTATTATTAATTGAGAGGGTTTGGAAGGGTCTAAGCTTCAGTAAAAGAAGATTATTTACCATAAACACGACCCCAAACTTAATTTAATAGACCCTTGAGGAATTTAGTGACCGGATAAAGCCTTTGCGAACTTTAGAACTCCATAAAACTACTTCCAGAACTTAGTGTCACAAGTTGGAGGCAATTACAATTTTCAATTCAGTTTCATGGTGCTTTTTTATTTCCATAAATCAATTTTGAAAACAGCAGCTCGTTGTCCTGAAACCTRAAACCTTTGTCCAGGTGCACAAACAGGAAAACGCAAACATCCCCATTAATTAAATTTGATCAACCGCAACTCTCCGGAAATGCCATGAAAAACTCCTTACCTGCTAGCCGTGGAGTTGACACTGGTGTTGGATCGAGACCGACGATTAATAATAGAATCACCGCAATTGACTACGCCCCCTTTGTTCGTAATGCTGAAAGTCCTAAGTCTGTAGAGATCATCGCTRAGTCGGGGGTTGTAAGCCTTTTCCGGTAACGAGCAAACCCTGGGCCGTATGTGGTCTGGAACTGAATAATTGAAATTTTACAGGTTAGAGAAATTTCAGACATTTTCAGTTTCAACAGTGTTACCGTGCCACTGGTTTCAAACATATTTATTTTTAATGTCAGTGAATTGCCCAAATGAAACAAGCTTTCAAGTTTTACGAATTATTAATTAATTAATTAATTTCATACATGTTCAGTTTTTTGCTTAATAATTTTTGAAATGMCCAAATGAAACAAACACTCAAGTTTTATATACAAATTATAAAAAAATACAGATAGAGAAATTTCAGACATTTTCAATTTTATGTTTTTTTTTCATTGTACAACTGAAACAACTTTTTTAAGTCTTACGATAAATTTTTAAGAAAAACTACAGAATTTTCAGATTCAGATGTTTTCAGTTTCATGCCTATTATTTTTTTTTATTGTCGGGAATTGCAAAGCTGAAACAATTGTCCAAGTTTTACAAATTATTAAAAAAAACTACAGGTGAGAGAAATTTGCATTTTGAGTTTTATGCCTATTAATTTTTCTTTAATGTCCATGAATTGCACAACTGAAACAAGCTTTCAAGTTTAACAATTTATTTAAAAAAATTACAGATTGGAGAAATTTCAAGCATTTTCAGTTTCATTCGTATTATTTTTTTATTGTAAAGAATTGTAAAACTGAAACAATAAATAAGCTTTAAACAATTATTATATATTAAAAAAATATAAAAAATTATAAAAAAATACAGATTAGAGAAATTTCAGGCATTTTCATTTTTTTTTCGTTGTCAGTGAATTGCCCAACTGAAACAACCTTCCAAGTTTTACGAACTATTAAGTAGAATTTACAGATTACAGAAATTTTATACATTTTCAGTTTTTTGCTTAATAATTTTTGAAATGCCCAAATGAAACCAACACTCAAGTTTTATATAGGAATTATAAAAAAGTACAGATTAGAGAAATTGCAGACATTTTCAGTTTCATGATCATTCAATTTTTTTTTATAGTCAGTGAATGCACAACTGAAATAACTTTTTAAGTTTTACTATGAATTATTAAAAAAAATACAGATTATAGAAATTTCAGACATTGTCAGTTTCATGGCTATTAATTTTGTTCATTGTCAGGAATTGCAAAACTGAAACAATTTTTCATGTTTTAGGAGTTATAAAAAAGTGCAGATTAGAGATATTTCAGACGTTTTCAGTTTCATTCTTATTAATGTTTTTTCCATTGTCAGTGAATTACCCAACTGAAACAACCTTCCAAGTTTTACGAATTATTAAAAAAAAAATACAAATCAGAGAAATTTCAGACATTTTGAGTTTCATGCCTATTAATTTTTCTTTGATGTCCATGAATTGCTCAACTGAAACACGCTTTCAAATTTTACAATTTATTTAAAAAAAATTACAGACTAAAGAAATTTCAGGCATTTTCAGTTTCATGCCTATTAATTTTTCTTTGATGTCCATGAATTGCTCAACTGAAACACGCTTTCAAATTTTACAATTTATTTAAAAAAAATTACAGACTAAAGAAATTTCAGGCATTTTCAGTTTCATGCCTATTAATTTTTTTTTCATTGTCAGTGAATTGCTCAACTGAGACAACCTTTCAAATTTTACGAATTATTCAAAAAATTTCAGACATTTTCAGCTTCGTGCCTATTAATTCTTCTTTAATATCAGTGAATTGCCCAACTGACAAAAGCTTTCAAGTTTTACGAATTATTAAAAAGAATTTACAGGTTATAAAAATTTCATACATATTCAGTTTTTTGCTTAATAATTTTTGAAATGTGTAAATGAAACAAGCACTCAAGTTTTATATACCAGAAATTATAAAAAAATACAGATTAGAGAAATTTCAGACATTTTCAGTTTCATGTCAGTGAAATGCACAACTGAAACAACTGTTTTAAGTTTCATGATGAATTATAAAAAATGAAGATTTTAGAAATTTCAGACATTGTCAGTTTCATGGCTATTAATTTTTTTCATTGTCAGGAATTGCAAAACTGAAACAATTTTTCAAGTTTTAGGAGTTATAAAAAAGTGCAGATTAGAGATATTTCAGACATTTTCAGTTTTATTCTTATTAATGTTTTTCCATTATCCGTGAATTATCCAACAGAAACAACCTTCCCAGTTTTACGAATTACTAAAAAAAATTACAAATCAAAGAAATTTCAGACACTTTGAGTTTCATGCTTATTAATTTTTTTTTCATTGTCAGTGAATTGCCCAACTAAAACAACCTTTCAAGTTTTAGGAATTATTAAAAAGAATTTACAGGTTATAAAAATTTCATACATATTCAGTTTTTTGCTTAATAATTTTTGAAATGTCCAAATGACACAAATACTCAAGTTTTATATAGATACCTAGGAATTCAGATTAGAGAAATTTCAGACACTTTCAGTTTCATGTCAGTGAAATGCACAACTGAAACAACTTTTTTAAGTTTCATGATGAATTATAAAAAAATAGAGATTATAGAAATTTCAGACATTTGCAGTTTCATGGCTATTAATGTTTCTCATTGTCAAGAATTGCAAAACTGAAACAATTTTTCAAGTTTTAAGAGTTATAAAAAAGTGCAGATTAGAGATATTTCAGACATTTTCAATTTCATTCTTATTAATGTTTTTTCCATTGTCAGTAAACTAATTACCCAACAGAAACAACCTTCCAAGTTTTACGAATTATTAAAAAAATTTTACAAATCAAAGAAATTTCAGACATTTTGAGTTTCATGCCTATTAATTTTTATTTTCATTTCAAATTTAACGAATTATTAAAAATATTTCAGACATTTTCAGTTTTATGCCTATTAATTTTTATTTCCATTGTCAGTGAATTACCCAAACGAAACAACCTTTCGAGTTTTATAAATAATTAGTCGCTGTTTTCAGGCACTCAGAACATCAAAAAAGACGAGTAATTCGTAATTTCAGTTGCAACAGCATCTTTTATTGTTTTACTCGAATAACGCCTGTTTGGAAGCAGACAGAATTGCAAATAAACTCCGAGCGAATCAAATGTCACTCTCCTGTTAATTCTTTATAAGTTTATTGATCGCTGTTTCGAGTTTCGTTCAAAATTCATAAAAAATTCAATTTGTTTTAATTTTTTTTGTTGAAATGAAAACGCAAGTTATGCCGTTTAGCACGGCCGCATTCTTGACACGTCCTTTATGAGATCAGTGATTTCATGCTGTGTAGAATCACCGGTGATGGTCTATTCCACAAACAGCCCCTGTTTGCCCCCACATTTTCCACTTGAAAGAGCCCCGAGTGCGGCCAAATAAAAATAATTCAATTTCGACGTTCAAATTAGCTCTTCTAACATGACGAGACGATTACGCCATAATGTGGAATCGTTGAAATTAATTAAAAGCTTCACGATGGAAACAAAAACCGCTAATTTTGGTGTTTWAGTCAATTTGGGGGAATTACCAAGTCGTTCAAGTGGTTCCCTAATTATTATTAAACTTTGACGATTGAGGGTTTTTAAAGGTGAAACTCGCGGAAAGGTCACACGGAGGTGTGCAAATTTCACGCCAAGGTTAGGGAAAATCGAGAAAATTGGAGTTTGGAGACAATTTTCTATCAGGTGTTGTGCACGTTTACTTTGCAGAATGAGAGTGTTCATATTTGATTTCTCACTATTTGGTGCACAAGTAACTGAATTTTCGATGATTTTCTACAAAAAGATTCACTGTGAAACGCGCCTACATGTGTTCATCGAGGTTTTTTTGTTAAAAATCGAATCTGGAACATTGGAAGCTATCACAATTCCAGCAGTCCACTTTTTCCAATGTCCGACTCATCCATTTGCAATTACTGATAAAAAGTTCAACAATGGCTTTCTATTTCATTGTATTGAAGATTTTTTATTCAAGGGTCACTCACCAATTTTCATTATCTGTCATTCGTTCACCCTGATTTATTTTCTCCCAATTCTATTGAACTCTGCCATGAAAGCGCAAAAAAGACTGATATTTTTTAATCATTGCTGAAAGCCATATAAAGTGGAAATTATGTACATTAAACTCGAATCTACAACTTTTATATAAAAAAAATACACAAACAGAAATTTTAGAAAACTAGTCAAAATTAAATAAAAAGGATACAAAAAACAAATATTATAGAAAAGAGCGGAGGAAAAAAGTAGCCAAGAAATTAACAACAATAAAGAAGAAGAAAGAAATAAAAATCACGTACCCATCAAATAACGGAAAAAGTCAAGAAAGAAAACAATCAAAAAATAAGAAAAAAAATGTTACAACAAATATGTATTAAAAGATCAACAAAGAAAAACAATAAGAAGTTTCACATTCTCACAAATCAARTGGAATTTTGAACATTGTTACAATCTCGAATTTTCAATTTTTCAAAAAACCAGCTAAATTTTCAGTCTAGTTTTTGAACAAAAAATGAATTTATACAATACAGTTTAAATAAATTAAATTTTAAAGTAATTCATTTGTAGCTAATAGATAACAATAAAAAATAAAGAAGGAAATTTAAGAAAATAGAAAGACAAAGACGAAGAAAAAGAAACAAGTGTGAAAAGTAGTCAAAAAATAAAAAGAATCAAAAGCACCGCAAAAAGAAATGAAYAAAAACGCAATCAACGAAGTAAGTGAGAGGAGACAGAATACCTAGGAATTTGAAAACCAATAAAAATAAGAAAAATAAAAAACTAGAAAGGACATAACAAACATAAAAAAAATAACAGTCATCATTATGTCGTTTACTCTGCTTTAAATTAATCTTTCTCAAACTGCTTAATTGTTTAATTCTTGCTGAAAGCAAGAAATAAATTGGAAGTTATGTACATCACTCTTGAACCTCCAACAACAATAGAAAAACAATAATTTAAAAAATATGTTCGAAATTAAAAATAAATATACAATATAAAAATATTGTAAAAAAAACAAAAAAAGCAAAGGAAAAAATAGCCAAAAAAATTAAGAAAAATTAAAAAGAAGAATAGTTACATAAAGTTATGTACCCAACAA